GGCGGACATACAAGTCAGTATCAAGCTAACACCTCCCCGCGTCATTTTTCCTTCATCTACAGTTTGATTGGGTAAGAGCACGTGAGAGGACATGGGAGGCCTGGCACTCGACAGCCATGCAGTATAGCAGACGTGTTCTTTGGTCCCGTATGCAAAAGAAGAGCATGCCTTCTTGTGATTATCCGGCGTGTGTCACCTACAGGATCCACAAGGAAAGCCTGCAGTGTCCTTAGCAGGTAAACTTTCAGGCAGAGTAATGTCGCACAAATACCAACAAAACGACATCCGCGTGTGCTGAGCTTGTAGCAGTAGACTTCTCAAGAGTAGATCATGTTTCAGCCACCGTGCTCATCAAACATCCCAGGATCAGGAGGTCAGGTAGGCCCAGGGTAGCCAGGATGCCCTACACACGAAGTTATTGAATGTATGTTTGGGCCGAATGCACGTAGGACTGATTTGGGGCATCAGGTCCAAATCCCTAGGCCTTTTCTCGCAGTGCCCCCCGTCGTCAAGAATTCGTTTTCAACGCCGACTTCATTGCCAAAAAGAAAAGACCTCCCAAATACGTATACTGGCTCAAAACCCAGTTTGGGGGAATTGAGACTGTTATTTTGTTTTTTTGAAGCCTAGGTTTAGGAAAAAAAGAACTCACGGAGCCCAGGACTTGGTGCATTCACGTCACAAGCGCAGTTCCTCTGTGGCCGTGCAGGGCAATGGCTTCAGGATCACATACACTGAGCTGAACCTTGTCTTCAGCGGTTTAGGGTTCAGGGTTTAAGCGGGTGGCGGATGCGGTCCCCTTTGTGATTTTATAGGGAGAAAATGCCTATACCCGATGTGAGGCTACAGTTGTCATGTGAGAAAGTTTGACGCGATGTTCACATGTGTTATGCAGTTTTGGTAGGCGGATTAGTTCGGGTGGAAGTGGACGAAACAAAACGGGAGGCAGGGAGACTATGTAGGTAGCTAGGTGGATATTAGTTCGAAATGATGACGCCAGAACCAGGGCCTGAAGACTGCGATGTAACTTTGTATAGCCTCAAACTTGGGCCCCTAACTCTTAGCGACATGAATCCTCAAGCAACCCAAGTAAACCTTCTAGCGTATGCCTTCATCCTAGGGCCTTCAGACCAGCCCTCTCTGAAGCACCAAGACCCGCTACCCCACCTCAACCCACGTCATGACCCATGAGCAGCCCATAGAACCCGCACACTCGCCCCAAACCTCAGAAGCCTTCGCATGCCCTGCATGCGCCGAGTCAAGCGGGAGGGAAAAACCGCCCCTTGCACAAGGCACCAGCGTGCTGCTGCTGTAAGCCGGGCCGTACGCACGGAGGGGGACCCGATGCCAGACTGACCAAGGGCATGGGGTCTGGGGGTTCAGGTAACATGATGGGGTAAGGAGTGATTCCTCTGATTCTGGAGTAGGCACGGTGACAATCAGAATTGCGGTTATAAAGGCTTTCATGCCTCAATCAAAGGCACCCACTGTTGACAAACACCATCGATCATCTTCGCAGAGGCCACAAAGCAGCCTTTTTCAAAGAAAGCAGGCCTCGGATTTTGGACTTAAGCTGTATAGTTTGAGGTCCAAGCTGGGGGTCCAGCTTGAGAGGTGGTTTAGGGTATAGATTCGGATGAGGGATGGAAGCTTAGGGTCTTCGAGTTCCGAGACTGTCTCAGACAAGGGCAGGCTTACGATTTGAGGCCGGGGCTTTGGGTATGAATTGGTGTGTAATGAATTCCTTCAGCTCCGGGCCCATTTTTCGCTTCTGGGCCGCTCCAGCTTAAGGATGGCAGTTTCAGTAGGGCCCTACCTCCCTTAAACCTACCTGGTTTGCTTACCAAAGCTGTTTCAGGCCAGCCTCCGGTTTGGCGTGTTGGGGGATCAAGGCTGTGGCGCTTGAAGATTCATGCATAGTTTTCGGCTTAGGGCGGGTGCAGTCTTAGAACAAACTTGACGCCCTTTAATAAGTACGTGGGGGGATGCAAGCCGAAACGATAGCAGGGTGTGGATTTTGACGAATTGCTCACTCAAATTGCTTGCAAGACTGCGTTTGCCAATTGTTTCAGATTGCGGGCTAGTGGGACGGTATCCTCAATTTGTATAAGTTTGTTTCTTGGCAACTGCAAGTTTCCGTGTGGTTTGAGGTAGGGGTGTTTAGCCCACCATATAGCATAGAATCCGCCCAGCTCCCACTTGCCCCACCAAGAATGAAGCTCTCAATTGGCCTCAGCATCGATTATGAAAAGACCGTGCGTCCTGTGAGCTTAACCCTGCCCGCGGAACCGAGGAAGAAGCGGGCGGTTTTGCTGTGCATGGCCCGTGGCGAGGCAGACATGTGGTTTCTATGGGGGCCTCCAAAACATTTGTTCAATTTTGGTTATTCTAATTCTGACAACAACCAAAAATATTGTTTAGTGGGGTTCTGAGGCCGGTCGAGGTTTCTGATGCATGTCGGAATCTGTCCATCGATATCTGCATGTATGCGTGGAATAATATTGTCCCTGGCATTATTGAAGTCCTTGACGGAACTTCCCCGTGAAGTTTGTCAGCTGGCTGGATATTAAAACGAAAGTCCAGATTGTGAACCCAACAGCGCAACCCCATGCTGACATGGCAAAGGCCTGTACATGGGTAATCTGCCCTATAGTACTACGTACATTCCCAGACCCCTGGGAGGATCTAAAAATTAGATCCCCTATATAGACCCATTATAACCCCTATATAATCCTTATACATTTTCCCATATGGTTCTAGGGGATCTAATTTTTAGGTCCCTTTGGGGGTCTGGGTTGCCATTACACCAAGTGCGAAAAGAGCCAAAGTAGAGCTAACGTAGTGATGACGGGTTGTAAATTTTAGGTGGACCCCCCACCCTGTAATAGTGACTATAAAGGATAATGAGGATTATATTAGGGTCCTCTTATATTCCTATTATGCCACCATTATAGGGTTGGGGGGTCCTCCTAAGGTAAATTAGATTCGTCGTGGAGTGGCGGCAGGAGTGAAGAGTTGGCCTTTTTGCCACTCTTAAATGGTATAGTCCCCCTTAAGTAGACAGAATATGGGGTATCTGGGGATCTTATTCTAATCTACCCGAAGCCATACTCTATCTACTTAAGGGGGACTATAATTGTACTGCTTGGCTGGCATTTATGGTTAGGGAGCTTTAGGTTTGAGGCCTTCAGGTGTTTGAAGTTGTATTGCTAAGACCTCTGTATTCCATGTTAATGAGGAGTAAATTGGAGACTGCTGTTGCAAAGCTTGGCTTCTTGGGTCCTGGCTTCTCCCTCTAGACTCGCCCATGGCGCTTTACCAAAAGACTCTTTTGTATGATCTATGTCCAAGAGTCCGTGCATATCCTCAAATTTCTCGGCCCTGAGTAATGCTGGACTCAACCTCAAACCTCTACTTTGAACGGTTTAGGAAGTACTGAGGGATGATCAGGGCATTATTCAGGTGAAGTGTATATTTCCTACTTCCACGGCCCCTCAAAGTGGGATTCAACTGATTCCGTGTCAACCAGCAGGCAATCGCTCCCAGTTTTCTTGGGATTTTCCAATCAGGCGGGACGGCTTCAGAGAGTCAAGGACTTATGTGAGCTATAGTCTAAACTCCTTAAAGGGGTTATTCAGGGGATTATATAGGGGACTACTATAGGGGTTATTAAGGGGGATACTAAGAGTTTAGACAATGGTTCATGTGGGAAGCCTGTTTCCGTTGGGACACAGTACTTCCCAATCTGGTCGCTTACGCTACCCCAGAATGACAATAGGTTCGTACGTGCTGCCCAAAATGCCCCTCAAGTTGATTAGAATGGATTGCACGAGTGTTTCCTGGTATGTCTGCTTCTAGGGGCGGAATGACGCGGCTTATGGCATGGGGGCTTGTATTCCAGTCTTGATACATAGACCACCCAAATACGTAGAGAGTAGAGACGAGACCTAGAAAAAGTTATCTGTTATTTTCCAAATAGCAGATAATTTTTGGAAGGTCTAGGTGGATGAGGCTTAAGGAGTGCTGGTGGATTCGCAGCTTGCAGCGTCTGGAGTTAGGAGTTTGGTGTTGCGGGCTAAGGGTGCTGTATGTTCAGGGTAGAACGGACCTCATGTGAGGTAGCTGTGTTCATCATGGTTTTGGTGAGGGTACATTGGGGTTCCTGAACAATTTGGGTGAGTGCATATACATTTTTTCTGCATACATGAGGTGTCCAGTGGAAAATCCGAAAAATCCCGGACGTCACATCGCCTTCCTTGCAAGGCAATCAGCCCACAAGGACTGGAAGTGGGGAAGCCGGGAAACCCCGCGCCCTAAAGCCATGAACTCTCCATGGTTTGTGCACAGGTTTCATTGGGTGAGTAGTAATAATAATAGTTAGTAATAGTGGTAGTAAGAATAAGAAGAATACTAATCGTAATAGTAACAGTAGTAGTAATAATCGGGCCGGTCTTGTTGACTTAAGTGTAAAGTGTAATTATGGCATTGTCTCTACTCCATGATGTGTCAAGGCGGAGCATGAGAGGATCATATTGGACTCTGGGCGTCGGCAGATCTTTTACTCTGGAGCTTTGGGGGTTCTTGTTCCGATGACGGGCTGGGCCGGTAGGACCAGAACCGGCCTCATTGTGCCTGTTGTGGGATCTTGTCAAGCATGCACAGAGCAGATGGTCAGATTGTCGGCAGTCATGACCCCACCCCTTGGGTCCCCTTGGCCCGACCCAGCACATGGAGATGTCGGAGATGAAGCGTCGCGCTTGGGGCAAGGATCCGACCGTTTCGCTCACGTCAAGAAGCCATGCAGCTAAGCCTGCTCCCAAATCACCCCCTGGCAACCCCAAACTCGAACGCTGCACCTTGAAAGGCCATAAACCCCCAGAACCCATTCAATCCCTCGACGGTAAGGGCAACCCCGAATCCCAAACACAAACTCCTAAGCCTTTATTGCCAAACCCCCAACCTTAACCCTGAGCTCTGAGCCCTCGACCATCATTATGGAGGTATGATGGTGGTGCCTGTTGACGTGGCGTGGCCCCAGGATGCAGCACCACCACTCCTCCAACAGGGTTGAGGGTGAAAAGGGGTAGATCTTTATCTGGGCCCCCAGGATATTTGATAGTTTCCCTAATGGCTTTAATAAGGGACCCTATATACTAATATGTTTCAAAGGGTTTCTAGGGGCCAACCCAGTTATTTGCACATAAAACCTATGTGGAGACGGTGAAAGCTGGTTGTTGGCCAATATCTAGGATCTTATGGAACCCGCTTCTGATGCGCAGGACTTATGTTTGCGGTTGGAAGGCTGGAGACACACAGGATGATACTTCATCATGTTTGAGGGTTTCGAGTCATGTAGAAGAATTCGTGAATCCTTTCAAAGCAATTGTTCATGCGTGCCTTCGGTCAGCTAGCAAGAGATTACCATGTTTTTATTGGGCTTTCTGGGTGGCGTCTTGGGTCGGAATTTGGGGATTTGGTGTGTGCATGGGGTCCCCCTCACTCCTCAGCTGGAGGCCTCATAAGGAGCCTAGCCGAACCTCGCAGGTGTTTTGGAACATGGAACGGCCTAGCCAGTGATGCGTTGTCGTGGTTGTTGTTGTTGTTGTTGTTGGTGGTGGTGGTGGTGGTGGTGGTGGTGTCGGTGGTGTCGGTGGTGTCGGTGGCGTCGTTGGTGTCGTGGATGATGATGTTGTTGTTGTTGTTGTTGTTGGTGGTGGTGGTGGTGGTGGTGGTGGTGTGGGTGGTGTGGGTGTTGTGGGTGTTGTGGGTGTTGTTGGTGTTGTTGGCGTGCTTGGTGTGGTTGGTGGTGTTGGTGGTGTTGGTGTTGTGATTGTGGTTGTGGTTGTCGTTTTCGTTGCGGTTGTTGTTGTTGTTGTTGTTGTTGTTGTTGTTGTTGTTGTTGTTGTTGTTGTTGTTGTGGTTGTGGTTGTGGTCGTGGTCGTCGTCATCGTCGTTGTCATTGTTGTCGTTGTAGTTGTCGTTGTCGTCGTCATCGTCTTCGTCGTCGTCGTCGTCGTCGTCGTTGTTGTCTCTGTCGGTGTCGTGGTCGTCGTCGTCGTCGTCGTCGTCGTCGTCCTCGTTGTCGTCCCCACACGGAGAAGAGCACTGGGACTTCGAGTCGCCTGAGCAATACGGGTGTGCCCTGCAAATCTTAGACCCAAAACCCCAACCTTAGGCATGGCAACATCACAGGATGTGGACCAGCTCAACAGAGTATATGATTCTTTCTTTGCATCCCTCCCACCAACCATAAAGCCATAAGCCCCAACTTCACGGTGGTTCTCAAGATAAGGGTCAGGTTTTTCAAAGGGACACTGGCGATCTCGCCTGGCCCTACAGGCATTGCGCCATGCTAGCCCTGAAAGACCTTCCAACCCCACAAATTCCCAGAACGAGAGGGTCTAGAACAGGAGCGCATAAAGCAAGCAGCATTGGATTCGGATGTGGCTGTTGCGCTCGTGGAACCCTCCTCTCTGTCCCTGAGAAAGCAAGAGCGGGGTTGTCCTTGAGGATATTTTGCGCTCTCTAATATTAATTTGCAGAGGACCCGCACAGTAAGTCGTTTCGGATGGGCCTACAGGACTACCTTGTAGTCGTGGCCCTGTGGATGTGGGACACGGTGCTCCTTTGCAGGGGTCCTTACAAAGCTCATGAGAGGCTTACAAATCAGTAGGACTTGCATTGGCGGGGGTATCTATTTAGTTCCTCCAGTAGGAAACCAAGACCATCATGGACTTTGCTGGGTGATTGGTTCTGACTACACGGATGCAAAGACAGGTTTAGAGTCAATCAGGCATTGCCTCTTTTTACTATTATGGCTCACTTGCGTTTCCTGATATTCCTCTGGCACCAAGATGGTTGCAACTGGATGATTCGCTTAGGCCTTTGGGTCTTTCACCTTTTTGTCCTCACTTGGGCATTGGTTTTCACTGCATGTCAGTTCGAAAACCTGTTGACCCTGCAGCTGGTAGTATTGCCGGCGGCAATGCTCGCGCAATGTGTTTTCAAGACATTATGAAGATCTATGCAGCTTCTTGCATGGTAAATTCCTTGGCTTATCCGAGAGTAGAAGCTCATCGCCTCTGGGTACATGAGATATAGTTGACGTTTGCTACTACGGGTTTGTTTGGCTCGCTCGCTTGTGAACTTGAATGAGCTCCCGGAATAAGAGGCCTGCAGCTCGCATAGTCCTGTGGTGACACCTTCCAAACCCCAAACTGCAGCAGGGAAAGGCAAACCCCCAAAGCAGCAAGGTCCCTGCTGCCGGAGCTTCCGTGTCCGAGCCTGGTCGTGGATGCAGCCTTCTATGAGAAGCATCTCGCTGGCGTTGTCCTTTGGGTAGTGAAGATTCAGGGTTGAGGCAAGGATGCAGGCAATTGTTTTTCACCTTTGGAGTTCAGTCTTAGGATTTGGGTGCTCGCTTTGTTCGGTCTTTCGAAGTTGGCAGTCCCGCATCGATGGCCTCGCAGAAGGAATGCCCGGGCCTCTAGGCCTCGGTGTTTGTTATATAGGGAATATATAGGGATAATGGAAAAGAAAATGGAAACTATAGTATGTAGCGGTTACATGGGGATGGTGGAAAAGAAGACTGGGTCTTGTATTTCTTGGAAGCAATGAAACCATATTGTATGGTGATAGTAGTGACGCACCGGGCATCACGTGGGACCGGGTAGGCAGGGCATGTGATGTATAGCCGCTTATGATATTTTTCATCCGGCCACGCCCCCGACGGCTAGGTAAAAGTTTCCCCAGGCAAGGTGTCTATCTCTATGCTTCTTGTCCGGCCTTGCAGCATTGTCCTTGTTACTCCTCTATACCCCTAGGACTAGAGTCCTTCCAGCTAAGCCTGAGTACCCACCCGAACTGCCCTCCCCCCCTTCTGAATTATAGATCGCTCCCGCTGGTACAGGTATGCAGCGGAGCCCGAGCTCTGTCAGATGAAGGAGGAAGACGCAGCCCCTGGGCCTAGATTCTCAGAATTAGGGTTATATTGGGGTAATATTAGGCTAATGTTGTGGTAATATTGGGTGGGGTTGAGGGCTTAGGGGCCTTGATGTTTAGAATAATGGAGAAGCAAATCGAACCTATGGTGCCAGGCATTGTCAGGGAGAGCTTTGAAGGCAGCGCTTGAGGGAGGACCTAGGGATCTTTTGGGAAAGTTTGGGACTGTGGCTTTGGCTTACTTCTGAAGCTCGATGAGAACGGGCCCTTCAACCCCCCTGCCAGGGATCCATAAGGGCACTCCAATTTTGTGAGCCTGCCATTCATAGCAAGAAGCTGCCATTACGAACATCTACGACTTGGAGTTATCATCGCTGATTGTACTAGGTTTGCCGAATAAGCCAGATTCACGTTCCCTATAGGGCTTGAACGGTGACCTTGATCCTTAGACCGTAGACACAATCCCTCAAACTGCTTCCTGGTTTCCCCAGACCTTCAACCCCAAGCTTAACCCCACCTAAACCCTGAACCTTGAATCCGCAAACGCTGCCTTAACCCTCATACTCCCTCTACACCCTGTGTCCCAGGCACTGGTGCTCTTCACTAGTGGCTCCACCGGCAAGCCGAAGGATGGGGGTATGGGAGTTAATCCCCTCCCCCTAGTATTAACTCCCCCAGGTATATAATAACGTATTGCGGGGTATTTAATATTAGGGGTTGGGGGAGTCTAATATCAGGGGGAAGGGATTAGTCTTGCAGCAAGATCCCACAAAAGGTGTCCTTCAGATTTTGGATTCAACATCTAGGGCTTTGGGCTTCTGCGAGCCCCCCATAGTTCTTGACTGCCTTGCTCCATTGTGAGAACCCCCCCACCTTCTTGAACGTCATTTTCCTGCAACGGATGTGAGGATTACTGAAGCAGGGTCCCCCAAACAAAAAGAGGTATGGGGAGCCTCAGTCCGGGCTGAGTGTGTAAAGCGAAGCAGTCGCAGTCGACGTTTGGCCCTGTGGGCATTCCGCCTTGTACAGCTATGTGGAATGTCTCAGTACTGGGGATCCTTCTGAGAACCAAATAGTGATCACCATCTGGGTTTGGGGGTCCATCATGGCCCCATACTTCTTGGGAATGCTATCCTACCATGACGCCCGGGGCCAGTTTGGACCCAGGATTTGTTACTTGGGTTCAAAATCCGCATGTGGTGTGCTAGTCCAAATTGGGCAGGTAACGCCTCGGATGCGCCCCCAGAGATATTTGTTGATCATTGGTGTTTTTTTATTGAGAAAGCATAGGGAAAGTTTTGGGAAGCACAAGTACGAGCTAGGGCGCTAGGTATAATGTTTAAGGGTGAGTGCACGTGGGGTTCGAAGAATAGTGCTGAAACCATCCACGGGCCAAGAGATCCTTCATCCGCCCGTAACAACTTGGTCCAAGTATGTGGAAATCTCTTATCAGAAGCCATCATGGGCAGCCCGTTGACACTCCAGTGTAGCCAACAGGCAGCTTACTTGCTTGCAGGTAAACCCTAGACCCTCATACGTCTCTTCCATTGTCAGCTCCATCATGTCACTCTCTGGCAGACGCAGCAGCAGCATCTGCCCAAATCGCCAACATTTTCCGCATTACATAGCTAACTTCCAGACCAAGGGCCCGTGTTTCGTACCTGAACCGTGACGCCTCCACTTAGAAGGCAAGACGAGCCGCCTCTAACAGCTTTCTTCAATAGGGCATCGTCCTCTCCCACGGTTACGTGACGGCGCTCGTGGCTGGCATCGTGGAGTCGAAGCGAATGTCCCAAGCCACGAAGACGTTGTGCTATCACTCCCCGACTCTTTTCTGCAGCTTTTTCGCGGGATTGCGGAGAGTTCTCAGCACTTCCAACACCATGCTGCCTCTAGATATAAACCCTAAACCCTAAATAGTAGTTTCCATTTTACTTTCCATTATCCCAATATTAACCCCAATACTAAACAACCCATATATAACCCCATTACCCTGTAATATACTATAATAGAATATACCATAATATAGCATAATATACTATAATTAACCCCAATATAACCCCAATATTACCCCAGACCTGAGCTGAAAGGAGAATGCTCTAGGGTTTAGGGTGTTATATTGGGGTAATATTAGGGTTATATATAGATAATGGAAAAGAAAATGGAAACGACCATAATGGATTATAAAGGGTTTAGGCACCTCGAGTAGGGCTTGAAGCGTTGAAGGCTTAGGTCCAGGACCCTTGGTTTTAGGCGCTGGCAGCGGCGTGTGTGCTGTAGGGATGATTCAGTACCCCTTACATGGATTGTGGGTAGATGCAGAGGTTGTGCATTAAAATTTCAAGTAAACAAGGCTTATTTTGGGATTATATTGGGATAATGGAAAATGAATGAAAGCTACTGTGGTGAGACTGGAGCCCCACGCCAGCAATTTCGCCCCAGCCGCATGCGTACTGCCGCTTTTGATCGGCAATCACTGACAGAATGTGCAGGCAAAGTCATCGGGTTGCCCCTTGGGATCTGAATTTCCCTTGTTTCAAAAGCTCAAAACGACAAGCCGACGATTTTGTGCTGCCAGTCCATGCCTCATACAAGTACCATAAGGCAGTTTCCCTAAACAGGGGACCCTAATGTAGACCCCAAAATACTGTAATTGACATGCGAATGGTGCGGGGCAGCATCCACAAAAGCGCCTGAAATCAGACGCCAGTGATGCACATTGCCCTCAGCCCAGCCTGGACTGCGCGGAACCTGTAACAGTAGAGTCATACACTATACCACCACGATATGGGGATTTCCCAAAATAGGACAGACACCTGATATATTATATTCCTTATTATGGGAACCCCAAAAACTAATTACCCACACTTTGGGAAACCACGTTTTTGGGAAACCCCTTTTTGGAGCCACAACATCAAAGGGTAGCTTCTGTAGGCTCCAAGTAGACCCTAGACAGCCTGAGCTGTGCAGAACTTAACTGCGGCCCCCCCAAGTGCTTGCTCTGCAGTCGGTGGAAGCTATGCAAGCCTCAGCCCGGCATACCTTTGTCCCTAAGCCTAAGCCTAGCTTCAGAAGCAACTTCCATAGTTTTGCGGCAAGCACGCTTACAACGGCTAGAGGCTAAAGCCAAATCTCTTTGCATCGGCACCAAGGAAGACAGCGACATAGATGCCTTCCTTTATGCAGGTTGCACATGATTATTTGTACCCTCTTGCATCTGACAAAAAAAGGCACCTCACCCACCCAGCTGCTTTAAAGTGACATTCCAGATCAGATCAGACGAAGCGACCTCTCCAAAGTTGTCGTGAAATGGCCCCTGATTTTGAGGGGGTAAATGCATTTGATAAAGCAAAGGCTCCTGGAACTGGATTATAGTCCCCCTTAAGTAGATAGAATATGGTTTTGGGTATAGTATAATAAACTCCCCATATACCCCATATTCTATCTACTTAAGGGGGACTATAGGCTGAATCTGACGAAGAGGGGGCATTCTCTGAATTATCTTCTTCCACACTGCGTCCAAGCCTGCCCACGCTCCGAACCTAAGCCGCCCGGCTCCTTGAGCGTAAAGGCCGCGTAATTTCAATGACACTGACAGCAACAGGCCAACCCTAGCCAGTCCTCACATCTTTTCTAAGCCTTCCTATACCCTACCAGCCTGTTCTTTCCAAATCTTGAAGCCTACGCCTGAAGCACAGGACCTGGATGCCGTTCTTGGACAACCTCTTTGGTCCCCTGCTGGCTGGAGGCACATGCCTTTACTTCCCAGACAACGAGAAGCACATCGAGCTTCGGCCGGATGCTGGGGGGGTTGCTTGAGGTCATGGGTCCCATTATGGGTCCTGCCTGCCTGATCACGGGATTTGTACTACGGGGTAAGGCATGCGGGACTAAACTGAAAACCACAGATATCTTGATGAAAGTCCTGGTGTAGGATTCGGCGATTGGCAGGAATCAAGAGTTTTTCATGCAAACATTTTCAAGTGGCATTTTTGGGGGCACATTTTTCTGAGGCTGAGGAGGTGTGGAGCGGGGTTGAGGTGCATTGTCATGTGATCACAAGGTGATGCCCTCAGAGCTCAACCAGTTCGCCAAAGACCATGGCGCCACTCATGGTGGCTTTGTGCCTGCAGTTCTCGACCTTTTCTCCGAGGAGTCCTTTCCATTCTTGGGGTCTTGGAGCTGAGGTCTTGGGATTCTCTCTTGGTGGTTTCCGAATTCTGCATTGAATGCAGTGATAGGCTCAAAGGAGAATGTGCATCGGATTGGTCTCGTCTGCACCTACCCAACTTCATAAGCCTTTACCACTGTTCTAAACAGCTCGACTTGGTGTTTCCTGACGAATGCAAACGCAGCGAGGGCAACATGAAAGAGATAGGCGCTGTCTTTGCGCAAGCTCTGTCAACAGTAACAAAAGTAATAATAGTAGTAATGGTAATAGTATTAGCAATAGTAACAGTAATATCATCAAGAAAAGTATATTACTAGCGATAAGGTTCATCTTGGTCTCATCCCTGCACCCTGTAAGGAGGGACTCCCTGCCAGCCTCTCAGATGTCGGCGTCGGCGGGGCGGCCGTTCCCACGGAGCTTTGCGAGCGCGTGGTACCCATGATCCCACAGGCTTGGAGTTTGAGGGGTCCAAGGTTTAGGTTTAGGGTGTAGGGTTGAGGAATCTCATCCCCTACCCCTAATATTAAACCGCCCCCCCCAACCCCTCCCGCCCCCCCTAATATTCAATACTCCCAATATCTTTTACAATACCAAATACCACACTGGGGAGTATTTAAAATCATGAGGCTGCGGGGGTTTGATATTCGGGGAAACACTCAAGTCAGAAAGAGGCTGTAACCAACAGCCCAACAGCCCCCTACAGTTACGACTAAGAGAGAGAGAGAGAGAGCCCGTGTTTCACAATATGCCTGCCTAGTATGGGGTCTTGGGGCTTGAGTATAGCATGTGGGATCGAAAAGGTTAAAGATCTGACAGAAATTCATGGGTTTCGGAGTTTGAGCGCTTGCTCTGTCAGCTTGTTATGTTTTCTTAGGTTAGGATTTGAGACTGAGGGCCATTGGCGCCCCAACATTTCAGCTTTTATTTTTGGCAGCCTTGTGCGATGAACAATGCACCGTCTGCCCTTGAGATGAGCTACTGTCTAAACTCCTA